GCGCACGTCGTAGATGTAAGGCCACTCGAACCAGGGGATAATGAAGTGCATCCCCTCCGCCATGACCCCCTCCTTCACCCCGCTCAGCCGGTTGAACACGATCGCACGGTGCCCGCCATCCACTGCTCAAAACGCCGATCCGGAACGGAGCTCCAGGACATTAATAACACGCCGGGTGCTATGCACATGACGGTCGGAATAGCAGGAGTTGTGTTTCCTGTTGTTGGGGGCTATCCCAAAACGTATTACCGTATACGACACGAGATAACACACCCCCTGAATCGATTTTCAAAGCTAGACTACTCCACGATGAAGAGGATGAATAAACGAAACGATACGTTTTCGGAGAGATTTCGACGAGACAGCTTCAACACCACCATTTTTGGCGCCGCGACCCTTTCTGCTGTTGAAAAATCAAGCCTTGAAAAACGGTCCAGGGGGTGTGTTATCTTGTGTCGTTTACGATACTTCGTTCACGGCAATCGTATCGTTCCGTAATACGAACACGGTTCAGTTGGCAACGCTAGCTGCGAGGCAGCGATGGCCACTCCGAGAAACGAGAGAGTGCGCTGAGACCGAGGCGAATTGGTGTGCGGGGCGACCAAGGCACCGAGTGTCTTCAAACGAAACTACGGCAACGAAGAGGAGCAGTGCCCGTGAAACTGCGGGTGTGGGGGGTCGACCAACGCATTGGCTGGCTGCAAGAGACTGTGGCGAACAGCAGCCAAGCCACGCAACAACGGCCATCGCCGAGGCCCCGCTAACGATATCAATACCACTACCCCCCACCACCACTAGACCAGACAACCGTTGGCACTGCCTTTCTCCACTAGAGTCTTCCCCACTTCCAGGACCCCAACTATCACGACACTACCAGCTTCTGAGGACACCGTAGTGCAAAGATGTAAGGTGCTCCGTAGAACATAGAAAAAGGGCAGTGAATGATTTTAAGGGCACTTCCCCGCATTGAGGACAATATTCTTGAGGAGGAGCAGACAGCGACGTCCTGAAAGCGAGGACAGCTGTGCCACTACCGGCAAACCACAACACCCTGAACAACACATCACAGCCGCGTCGGCACCAACACCGTAACTGGATACACCGCCGAAATGGAATGTCTGTATGCAGCAGCTCTACATACACTTGGCCGCGTGCCTCTTGTCTGCGCGAGGCGCGCCGTTCAAGTTGGGGGGGGGGGGGGGGGGTGATGGCAGAGAAGAAAACGGTTCGATTCCAGGAGCTTCTTCCGCGCCACATTGTATAACGGCCCGAACCGCAGCAACACCATCGCTACCGCGGGGACACCCCTTCACCTGTGAATACCGAGTTGTACCCGCAGTAGCCCACCGCTCCCAGCACCAACGCGCCGTTGATGAGGGGCAGGAGGGGCCCACTGTTTGGGATTTTGTTGAACGCGGCCTGCAAAATATTGCGCACGCGAGGGATGTGTATTAGCTTCCTGATCCTTTGCAAGCGGGGTTCGCTGGCGACGTCGGTCACTGGTGTCATGAGAAAATGGCCAACGCTTGGGCGCCCACTTGTTTTCGTTTGCGACTTAGCCTGGGAAACTAACGTATGTACGTAGGGGCGTTCAAGCAAAGGATTCTGGAGCGAATGCACGGTTCGGTACATGTGGACTCGTCAGTACAACCGCAGCAGCCATGTCAAATACGGAGGCCACAATACGCCAACACCGTGTCGCAAAAAGTAGAAACAGCAGCAGCACCACCACCACCACCACCACCACCACCAAACAACAATCCCAAAACGCGCTCCAAATCTGCCGCACCTTCGCAGCTCCAGACATGATGCCGCTTGTGCCCCGCCGCTACAGCTGGCTCTGTCCGGGGAGGGGTAAGAGCGATACGGGGTTCGATTTGACGAGGGATTCAGCACAGCACAAACGACCAAAACAACAGCGCTGGGTTGGGTGCAGCAGCGCGCGGAAATGCAAGGCATATGGGGGTTCGGGGGGAGTCGCTCCAAGAACATAACCGGGGTTCTGCCACAAATGCAGTTGTTTGGTATTTTTGCGCCCACATTTGCAAGTAAGAGTGTCGGTGTTACTCGGATTGGTGACCCGTACCCCCACCACAGGGCTCTTGGGTTACACGGAGCGTGTGCAGGAGACGTACGTCGTGTGCTGCAGGGGCCAAGAGGGCAAGAACATGACTCTCTCGCCCTCCCTACAGCAGAAGACCTCATTTTTTGTTTCGGCGGTATGCACAGCAGGAACAAGATGGCAATGTCGTTTCGTTTCTTGCTGCCGAAGCCGCTACGCCCTGTGTCAAATTTCTCTCCCTGGACTAGTTGCTGGTGCTGGTGCTGCTACCCTCCCGGCACCTACCGTACACTTGAATACTTGATGGCCACACGGCCAACAGATCACACAGCAGCAGTTTGCTGCGTACAGGAACGATCGGATTTACAGCAGCACACGCTTCCGATCACCAAAAAGAATGCGACAACACTAACACGTGATGTGGACCACATAAGTGCCACCTGGAGACTAGAACCGTGGGCTCAATAACATGCCACCTAACCCCCCCCCCCACCCACCGCAAGACCACTTGGAGATATACGGGAAGTTGAAAGAAGGGATAGGGATGAAGAAGTACTTGGACGGCCCCATGGACTATGCGAAAAAGCTGAAATTGCAATTTCGAGTAGGCGATCTGGACTTGCCAGAACGGAGGAAGAGGTATACCAGCCGTAGGAGAGAGGAAGAGGAGGATAGACACACATGTCCATGTGGCAAATCGGAGGAGAGTAGACCCCACATAGTTGGGGAGTGTGAGTTGTACAGGAAGGAAAGAGAGGATCTCGAGGAGGAAATGAGACAGAGAGGGTGTGACATGGACAAGTTTGGTAAGTTAGACAACAGCGAAAAAACGATCGCGATAATTGGGGATAGATGGTGGGCACAAGAGGCCCTAGAGGACGGGGATAAGATGTGCAAGAAATTTTTATGGAGTTTGTGGCAGAAACGTAAAGAGCTCCCAAATGTTGGTGGTGTCTCTAGTAGGTGTAGGAACGGTGCTCCGTCTCGAAAGGGACGCGTGGTCAATGGTCAAATGACTACGGCAAGCAACAAATGAGTACGCCCCCCCCCCCCCCCCACCCACCGCTGGGAACAGTCCCTTCCCCAAGCCACCTTCGCCGGTCCTGCTGCACGAGGGGGATCTGTCCGAGGGGGTCTGGGAATCTCGTGGGACCGTACAGCGGTACTGTACTTTGTCTTGATTTTTACTTGTGTGGGAGTAGTTAACGGCCAAGGCGGTACCTGCAACGCTTCCAGCACCGGACAGAAAAAGCTCACGTCTTGCCATGTTTACCTCGGTGCCCACCCTATCGAAAAGGAAGGTGGCTAAAAGCTACTGCTTGACAACGGCAGTGCTCGTACGAATATGCATGATAGACATGTACATAGTAAAATTTCCATCAGACCGGGTGGTTTCAATATTTGGAACAAATGATGTAGCCACGAATCTCATCGAATGTATCTGGATATGTGTGCGCAAAGAGATCACTCCCTTCTTTCGCTCCGAAAACTAGTGAGCTGTCGCGTTGTTCGCTAAATTATAAATTATTGAGAGTATGCCGAACACTCGGTCGTCGAAACAACGGGACAGCTCACTAGTTTTCGGAGCGAAAGAAGGGAGTGATCTCTTTGCGCACACATATCCCGATACATTCGATGAGATCCGTGGCTACATCATTTGTTCCAAATCTTGGAACCATCCGGTCTGATCGGAAATTTTACTTCACATTTCGTGGCCTGATTTTCGGTTCTCAGTTTTTGGCAAGCAGCTCCGTGCGTCCAGCGAGGCAGTCGCAGTGTAGGCAGACCACGCCTGCTGTGCAGAACTTTGTGCGTTTCGCTGCGGTACGGCGTACATCTCGGCCGCTGAGCGCGTCCGTTGGGACCTGTCGAAGGGGGCACTTATTCCCGACGGTCACTGCCGAGGGTGAGAGGGGGGACCTCCCTCTTACGGCGGCCCGCATGACGGCCTCCCCGCAGAATCGTTCGTGGGTAGCTGAGCTGCCGACGCAGTTTACCATGCACTCCTTTCGTGCAGGCAATTCCCTCAGCAAGTCGGTGGCGGGGACGGCGGTAGAGTAGATGAAATCATGCAGATTGGGGGCTGGAAGACAGAGTCGGTGGCGCGGCACTACATCGGAGCCACCGCTATTATAGTGGTCGCCTGTCGGGTAGCAAGCGGGCCCGGGGGCAGAGTTACGCCGATGCGAATGATATGCCCCTGTCCCCGGAGTGCAGTAGGTACCGGTGCAGGTGAAGCAAGTCTGGGTGAGTCCCCTTCTCGCCGGGGTGGAGAGAGAAATCAATGGAGGTACACGAAGGATGGGCGGGACCACGGCCCGGCGCAGGAGGCCTCAGCAGGCAATCCAATGATACATCAAATGATCCTCGGTTTGAGTCAAAATACTGGAACAGGAAATACTGCTGTAGGTAGATTGTGCGGTGGCTCAAGAAATGAGAGCGCTTAGGCGGGCATTGACACCACAAGCGCTCGCGAAAACCACCGCGCGGTCGGGCAAACAACCAAACGCACACCTCCCTTACACTTGCTGACTCGAAAAGGCGCGAGGAGACCAGAGATGACACAAGACTCACTCGTGCGCAGTGAGCAGTGCTACTATTGAACGTCTCTGCAACCAGTGTTTACCTCAGAGTACGACCTATCGTGGGTTTACGCTACGATCGAATTCAACCACAAGTGTTTACCACAGGGCCAAATGGCTCAACGCCCGAGAGCACGATGTGGTGTGCCGACACTTGCTGCTGCTGTTGCTGCGGTCTCTGAACCACAGGCTCTACCCATCCTGCTGCTGAGCAGTGAGTATGAGACCTGTTCATCAATCCAGATGCTACTGAAGAAACACGGCTGCATAAGAGGGGCACATACTAGCGCGGCGAGCTCACGGTGTCCTCAACACACAATGGAACAGCCTGAAAAAATTCGGCCAAGCCTATCCCAGCGAGATGCTCTGCTGCTGCGCAGACTCTGAGTGCCGTCGACGGCAGAAGCGATGGCTACCCCAGGAAATGCAACGCAGGACACCCGAGGCCGGTTACTCACCGTTTGAGGTTGGACTGAGAGAATAAAACAAGCCTGGGACCTCCGATAACTCCAAGCTTCGCTGCCCTCTAGGCTCGCTTTCTCCCTCTCTCTCTCCCTCTCTCTCTCTCTCTCTCGCCGATGGCTGCTGCTGATGTGCAATGCACGCGAACCTATCCGCGGGGAGACGCAGATGCGTCACATTTTACCCGGGATGCAAATACTCCTATTTGCGGGCTCCCCACCCTTAGCCTGGAGTGCAGCCTGCAGCAAGCGGCTCTGGGGGCGCGTGCACGGCGTAGACAGGAGGAAGAGGGAGAGGATGGCGAGTAGAGAGGTGCACATACCCACTGTCAATATCGCGTCACTGCTGACCACCAGTGATGAATCGTTCAGGTGATGAAATGGCAGTAGTACACGTTAGATTCAGCTAAGCAGTGCATGCAGCCTGGTCGACATCATGCCGCCACAGCAGCAGGGTAAACCGAGACTTCACACCGCGTACTGGCATGGCAACACGTGAAGGGACCCGGCCCAGATTCAAAGGTTTATGTTGTGCCATGGGTCAAGCCATGACGTGGAGAGGGGCGATGTGCATCTTGATCAAGACCATCATGCCTCTCCGGCCTGGCTGAACACTGCTCTGCGTAACTGTCGCATCTCCGCAGCGAGGATGATCGAGCGACCACCGCGAACGCCTTGCTGCGAGCTTGTGAGACCCACGGGCTGTTCTTTGTCGTAGGTCATGGGATCACGACGTCTCAGAGGCGCCTGGCCTTCGACAACGCCAGGTGAATTTGAGTTTGTGACCGGGACTTCAACTGCAACTTTGTCCGAGGGAGGGGTTGCGGCCCAATCTCCCCGCAGTCCGTGAGTCCGCTCCCAGTTCCCCGTTCCCAGAGTCCCGAATTTGTGTTGCCTCGGTGCAAAGAATTATTCGAGAAGACCCGAGAAAAATTCAGCTTGCATGTACCTGGTTCATAGTGCACATACCGGGAATAGCAGTGTGGACCAGACCCCCACCACCGGTGATTGAAACCTACACGGCTGACAGCTGAGATGTCAACTATACTCGAAGTTGGAGGACTACAAAGCAGACTGTGTCACATTCTTGTTGTACCGCGCTGTTGATGAAAATCGCCACCATGTTATTCTTCGTTATACAAAAGTCCGCTATAGACGGCAATCGCCATCATGCCACGCTATGGGGACACTCTGATGAGTTGTGTTCGTGCGACACTCTTGCATACCCGTCGGCGACACGAAATGGCGGACCAACCACAAATGCTGGGTTTTTCTTTTCTTTTCTACGCACGACCGAGGGATCTACTATTGTAATAATAGTCTAGAAGTTCAAACATACTTTGCTGTGTCAAAATAGAGGATCCCATTTACGCATCATCAACGGCATTTGCGCGATTTTGTTCGCGCCCTCGATTTTTCGCGTCGCCCACTCGTTTTCGGGTGTGTGACGCGCGCTTGCGGGCCCCGCGACTTTCTCCGACCAACATGAGGCGATTTTTTACCGACGAACCACTGCTGTAAATCAGGCGATTTTTTTCCCTTCCGGAAGCGGAGAAAAGGAAAATCCCCGCAAAGAAGGGCGGCTTCACGCGAGGCTACATCGGATTCGGCGGGGAGAGTGGTTCGCACCTTCGAGAATGCAAGGAGGCTTTCAGCTACGGGTGAGGCAACGAGCTTGACACTGCTGCTGCTGCTGCTGCTGCTGCTGCTGCTGCTGTTTGGATTCTCAAAACCA